CAGAAAAGTTTTATGGACTTCCAGTCGTTGCATCAAGCCGGCCTCAGATGCACAAAAGGCAGCTGGTAGCTTTTGAAGGCAGGCTCTGGAAGACGTGTTCATCAAAAGATTTAGGTCTTATTGCCAAGGCTCTGGGCTTGTGGTTGAGGAGTCACTACCAGCTATTGTTAGACTGTAATCTGGGCTGACACTGGCTGGTTCCCTGCGTCTAATCAGCTGATTAATCAGATGCTTTCCTATAAATGACGTGGAGCCATTTACCATCATGACTTGGCCTCTTGTTCAGCCATGAACGAACACAAACACAGAGAGAGGAATCCACGCTGGAGCTCAAAAGCCCTTTTGTTGCGCTTTGCTTCATTGTGGGAAAAAGGACAGTAACTGAGCCAGCCTCTTCTGAAAAAGGCACTACTCTGTAGCCATGGGACTCCTTAATGATTATTTCAACACTGAGCTATTTGTGATGATTAGTTCCTTCTTTAACCTCTTCCTCATCTGAGTTACCTCGGTGGCTCATTCTTCTGCAAAGCCAGGCAGTTTTTCCTGAGAAATTGTAGCACGGCCACTTACGCATGACCAAAAGAAGAGGACGTGTCTCACCAGAAAAGTGGATGGAAGAGGGCACCCGTTTAGCATAAAATGGGATGGTGGGACCCCTGTATCCGTGGGGGATTGGTTCTCAGCCCCACCTGCACAGATGCTGAAAAATATGCTGTACTGCAGCTAAAACTGTGCTCACGACCTGGGGTTCAAATCCCAGGTAGCCAGCTCAAGGTTGACTCAGCTCAGTTGCTCATTTTTCTGCAAGGCCAGGCAGTTTTTTCCTGAAAAATTGTAGCACTTACGCATGACCAAAAGAAGAGGACGTGTCTCACCAGAAAAGTGGGTGGAAGAGGGCACCCGTTTAGCACAAAACGGGATGGTGGGACCCCCGTATGCATGTGGGATTGGTTCTCAGCCCCACCCGCACAGATGCTGAAAAATATGGATTATAGACAACACTATTTTAATAGAGAATGATATGCATAACTTCATCTTTAGAAATATATATATATTTTCTAGGATTTTTGTAAAAATAACTTTAATATTTTCAGACTGTGGATAAGGGAGTAACTTCATCTTTAGAAATATATATAAATATAAATAACTTTATTATTTTCAGACTGTGGGTAAAGGGAATCAGTGGATACTGATTCTGTGGATAAGTGGGGTCCTACTGCATACACTCATTTCTGCCTATGGATACAACATTAGATTCTGTTTTTCTGATTTACCCAATATTGCGGCATATCTTACCTAAGCCCACACCACTACATAAATTGAACATTTTTGAGCAAACATTGGCAGCTTTGCATAAAAAAGGGACACTTTGGTGCACAAGTAGTCCATTCGCATAAAACCGCATTCTCCCTGGTGCAACAACTGTAGTCAAGAGTGCCAAGAAGTTAGTTACTCATCATCCTTGCTAAGGAGGGGAAGAATGTGTTAATTCCTTGTTCTTGCCGGCAAGGATGTGACAAGTGACAACTTATCTCCCTGACCACGGAGAGCTGTGGAAGCTTGGTGGCACCTTCCTTATGCCCTTCTGCAGAATTAATCCTTCTGCTGCTCCGATATTATCTGCTTCTGGATGCAATTCAAAGTGGTGCTCATGAACTATCACACACTCTTTGTGGCTGGTGTCCAGGGTATCTGAGCCACCCCGAGTTCTAAGACCATCCGGGGAGGTCCTCCTCTCGGTCTCATCGCCCTCACAGGCTTGTTGAGTGAGGACCTTTTCTGTGGCTCCTTCCAGACTGGGGAATGCAACCCCTTAAGAAGTCAACCAGCAGGCCAAGACTTTCTAACCGTATGTCTCAGGGTGTTTTAAACTGTGTTTACTATCTGGTTTTAATTCATTATGAGACACCTTGGCTCCACTGGGGCAAGAATAATGATACTGGTAATTGCATTCCATCAAGTCAGTTCTGACTTCCATCTATCCTTTCTTGGAATTTCGAAGTAGAGCCAGAGGTTGGGGGTTCAATTCCCTTTCCATCTATCCTTTCTTGGTTTTCTAAGTAGAGCCAGAGGTTGGGGGGTTCAATTCCCCATCGTGCCTCCTTAATAAGGGCTGGACTCGATGACCCATAGAGTCCCTTCCATCTCTGCAGTTCTCGGATTATTATAAGATTATGCTATTAAAAGGTGTTCTCAAGAGAATGTCATACATAAGTTGCTACCATAGTGAGGGTTAGGGCAAGGGAGAGCGATCCAAAGCAATTTGTTAAAAAAAGAGAGGATGAAACGTTTAAATCAGTGGATTATCTCATCGTTCTGTGCATGCTTTTCTATTTAACTGTGCAGTTTCCCAAAACCACGCCTCCGCAGAGAGAGAGAGAGAGAGGGAAAACCTCTTGGCAATATATCTGAGCAAATTCCCGTTTCATTTGAGAGTTGCAATTCCATTTGGTTCCAATAAGCAAAAGTCTGTTTACACTGAAAGGAAAAAAAAAGTGTAGAAGAGAAGGGGGAATGCCAGGACATGTCTTGTATTCATTATATAACCATCATGTGCCATGAAGTCAATTCTGGCTTCTGGTGACTCTTCCCAGGGTTTTCTAGGTAGAGAAGACTCAAAAGTGGTTCATCATTCCCTCCTTTGGGGGGGGGCGGTATCCTGCAAATGAGCAGCCTGCCCGAGGCCACCCAGGCTGGCTCTATTTTGCAAGAGGTATAGAGGGGGAATCAAACTCCCAAAGTCTGGCTCTGTAGACAGATATCTAGCTCACCATTTATTTATTTTTTTAAAAAATTAAACTGCTTGATAGTGACTCAATAGCTCGGTATGGAATGCACCGTATGAACAGGAGACAAAGCTGAATGCCAGGAGGTCGAATAACTGAAATGGACACCAGCTAGCACCAGCCCCAGAAATATGCAATGCCCCCCCCCCGACCTCCTCATATCAATGCCCAGGTCACAGTCCTGGCTCTCATTGCTGCGGTGGGGATTCCAGCATGGGCCAAAATATTTATTTTTAGCCGTGGCCCACTGATGGAAACCTACTGATTGATCTTTTTAAAGACGAGGACAGCTGGACCGCCAGGGTGGATGTACTGATGGAAATGTACAGTTATGGGGCAGTGCCCTGCAGAACAGAGGAAGGCCTGGAAGAAGGGGGGAATAGAATTTGAATACTGGGCACAACCCTTGACATGGCACAAGGAGGATGGTAGGGCAAGGAAAGGCGAAGAAAAGGAACACCCCCCGGATCTGGAGGCTGGAACAACCTCCTGATAAGGAGACCCAAAGTTTGGAAACATTAGGAGCCTTTTAGGACTACAGCTCCCAGGATCCTTGACAAGCATGGCCTATGGCCCGAAAGTGTGGCCTGAGGTCCCCAGGCAATCAAATGCACACACACACCCCAGCACCACTTCCTGGAACATGTTTTCTGAAAAATATGTTTGTCACTCCATAGATCCTTGGCTGCTTTTGAGTGGTTGTTGGGGGCAGTTTGTCCCTGTTATGGGGATTCCCATGCCCCAAATATATGATCCTTAAAGGACACAAATAGGCCTTTTTTTAGTCTAGTGTGCATATGTGCACATTGCGGGTCCTTAAAGGACCCAAGTAGGCCTTTAGTCTAGTGTGCATATGTGCACATTGCACCTCCCCCAGCAATGGACTTATTGCATTCATAGTGAATTAAAACAGAGGATCTTTGAGATAAACTGCTAGATAATTCAGTAGTTTAGCCATCTGGCTGTGGAGCCAGAGGTTGGGGGTTCAAGTCTCCACTGTGCCTCCTTGGTTGGGGCTGGACTCGGTGGCCCATAGAAAGGCAGAGCTGGAACAGGACCTACGTTAATGAGGATGATGATCCCTTCCTACCCTGTGAAAGGACTGGGTCTTGCATAGGGTGGTTCCCTTCCACCACTCATGGCTGAAGAAGCTTGGAAATGCAAGTTCAGAAATGGTCATCTAGAGATAACCAGTTGAGAAACCAGGAAGGAACTGGGAGTCCAACAGCTTGCATTTCAAACATTAACTTATCAAAAGCGATGTCAAGTCCTGGACACTTATTTCAATGGTCCACTTGCTTCTGAACAGAAAACTATAAAAGAACTTCTCATCACAAGCTTGGCTAAGCAGGGACCTTTACAATTATAAGAGTGGGTGATCCATTTTATCAGCCCACTAAAAAAAATCGACAAGTTGTGTGCTTTCGTGGAGAAGATTCCTCTTCATCAGGCAAAAGATCACTTCATGGACAATGCAGGGAAACAGTAGATCAGAGTCCAAGAACAGACGGTGGGTATTTGTGCCAAGTCTATCCGGAGAGACGATTTCAGACTCAGGTTGCAAATGTCATCTGAGGAGGATGATCTTAAGCACCGTTCTTTGCAGTATGGCTGGAATCCTACACATTTGTTCAAAAGGTTTGCCAGTTATTCTGAGAGTGCCCCCATACACGCCCACACCGCCTGCTTCCAGAACACCACATTTCTTTTTTGGGATGTGGAACTGGGAACAAAGCAATAGAGAAACACACAGCAGCCACCAGTGTAAGGTTGGGGTTATAAATTTGGCTTAGAAGCAGCTAATTAAAGCCAAATGAATGTTTTTACCTGGGGAGCAGAGATGGACATGAACCACTTGAAATGGCGGTTCGTGCCAGTTCGCCCTTTGGGCAAACAGGAGTTTGGTGCTTCCAAGCCCTGCCTCCCCTAGCAGGTGCCCACTCAGACGCAGCACCTGGAGGAGGTGGGGCAGGGAAGCTGGGGTACTGCCTCCAACTGGGTGCCGGTGGGAAGAGGCGGGGCTGAGAAGTGCCAACCACCTGTTTGACCCATCTCTATTGGTGAGCATTCTTCTGGGGGACTTTATCTCATGGCCTGGATGGCAAGTCATCTGCATACCTTCCTCATAAAACAGAACACATTGGGGTTGATGGCCTCGCTCAGAGATGCAAAGAATACCACGGTGTAAAATACAATATTTTTTAATTTTTTTTATAAAAAAACCCAACAATGTAGAATAAATTCTTCCATGAAGACAGAAACAGATAGGAACTTTTACAATCATTTTTTTTAAAAAAACTCTGCTTAAAAGTTAGCAGCACTTTCAATTAAATAGCTAAAACTCTACAGGTAGTCTTAAGGTTGGCACCCATGTGTCAGCCCATCCTACAGGGAGTCCCTGAGATGTCAGTGTTACATTCACAATGGCTTAGTAAAGTGATTCGCACGTTGTAAAGGAGGAGAGCAAGCAATTGAAGGCTGCTGCTAGGTTGCAACTGGACTGTTTTTATTACAGAGTAAACCTCTGCACAAAGGCACCATAAAACGGGACTGCAGTTGCAAGAGTGCAAAGTCCAGATGTTGAAGGCTAGCATCGGTCCTAGCCAGCACAGTCAATGGATAATGAAACATGTTATATACAGTATGTTCATATCTGCAAGTAGGAAAATATTTAATTTCAGGGTTGGTTTGTTTTTTTTTTTCAAACGAAAGATCTAATCAAAGTCACTGATCATTTCAGCAGAACACCTGAGGTTTGTGTGTTGTTTTCCTTGAATACAAGAGATACATAACTGACAAATTTGCTCATTTAAGCCCTTAAAATGCAGGTTCAAATAAACTTTGTAGCACATCATTTCTAGGGTTAAATTAGGATTGCCTTCGTATTTGGAGGTGCTTCTCCTCATTAACAATATACAGTCGGACTGAAGGATCTGCAGGGGTTGGTTCAAAGCGCGCGCACACACACACACCCCACAGATGCAGAAAACCAGGGACGTATCACACACTATATATTGCGAGGTCTCTGACTAGAGACCAGTTATGGTAAATACACCCTAGAAATACATATAAATACATATTTCTCTCTGTATGTGGTTTTTTAAAAAATTATTTGTATTTCCAGGCAGCGGATAAGCGAATCAGCGGATAAGTGAATCAGCAGCGCATACTGATCTGGCAGCTAGGAAAGTCCTGCTGAATTGGAAAACTACAGCTATTGGACAGATTCAGATGAATTCCAAATTGGTAAACAGATCAGTGCGATTTGAGTCAATTTGTATGAGGTCCAGACTGAAGCAGAACAAATGCCCAAATCCAGATTTACAATTAAGCAAATCCAGTTTACAAACTGGTTTGTATCTGGAACACAAATGGAATCCGATAGCTTCTGCTCACCTTTTCCCCTACACATCTTTCTTTAAGAAGCAAATTTGAAAGGCACGTAGCATGCAAAAGCCAGCTGTCGGGCAGGCTTGCCCCCCCATAATAGGAATGAATAGATCATCAGATTGCACAAACATCAGTGAAAAACAACAATAACAAAAAGTCACAACTGTTTTGCTTTTCCAATGCCGGGATAATGGTAACTTACAAACCAATTTAGATCTGGGCTAGTAATGAAACTGGACAGGGCACCAAGCACTCCAGAATAAAAAAAAATTGGCCTTCAAAATTGGAACCAGGGACCCAAGGAAAACAGCCTTAATAATAACTAAATATGACCAGGTTTTCTGCCATTTAAGGCGGATATGTCTACCCATTGAGCTTAGGCCCTGTAAGTGGGAGGAAAGGGGATTCCATTGTTCTTGATAAAAACTTTGCAGAATTTGCAAATTCCTCCTAAATGAGTTCCATTTCTTGGAACTTGAGGTTCCAAGAAAAAAAATCCTCTGCAGGAGTAATGGAAACTGGCAGATGCATGTCTAGACGTATTTGTTAGCCCTTTTTGTCTTGCATGCACGGCTATTTTTCTACTACGTGTGATCAGAAAGCACTTGTCTCTGAAGAAACCATTTGGCCACATTGGTTCAACTTTCCCCTTTTGTTTTACAACAGTATTGTTGTGGGACAACTGAAGCTTATTGGAAAGCTGTACAATACTCAGTATACATAGGCAAAGATGACTTAAGACATCGGTGTTCCCAAAGAAACGTTCACATGGGGCAACCATATCTTTCTGTTGGTTTTATGCCCTGTCCTGCTAGGGCTGCCTCTCCTATTTGAAATGTTGAGGAAAATGTTGAGCACCTGGGAGATGGACCCATTACATCCTTCCTGCACCTTCAGCTTCATGGATCTGTGACCCAATGTTTCGGAGCAAGCCTACAGTATGCTACCACAGAGGCACTTCATATCTGAAAAGGCTTTTGACCCCTCTTCTTGGAGGTCGACACCTGAAGCATCTTCCTCCAGAAGAGAAGAGGGGGTATCTGCCGGTCTTATGGAGGGTTCTTGTTGACTTTCTTCAGCACCGATCCAGCAACGGCCAAAGCGCCACCTTGGACAAAGCGGACAAAGTTGTCTCCAGCTAATGGCCCAATGGCGTAGAGTCCCTTCTCATGAATGGATTCGTAAGTGAAAGGATCCACGTCAATGGGGTTCCTCTTGGAGCTGACCGGCTGATCGCAATCGACCGCCACGTCCATGCCATTGTTGGGCAGGTAGGATAGATTGGGGTTGGACCCAATGAGGACAAACGCCATGGAAATTTTGTGCACTTTCTGGTGGTGGTTCTTATCGCGAAGTATGCATTTCTTGTCCTCCGTGAAGGAGAGAACGTGATGCTCAGGAAGGCTGATGTAACACTCGTAGGGCCCAGGAGAAGTGAGAGCTTGTTCCTCCATCATCTGGTGGACTTTGTGGTACTCGGGGTACATGGTCTTTGGGAGCTGGTTGAAGATGAGGGCTGGGTCGCTGACTCGCCTTCGAAAAGCATGCACCACCGGGATGTTGCAGTGGTGAGCCAAGAGAATTGCATCCGCTGCCGACAGCCCGGCGCCGACAATCAGGATCGGATCCGACATCGGAGTAATCTCCTGGTTCTTCACAGCTTCTTCGAGAGCAGACAGGCTGTGATGGATGAAAGGAAGGTGCTCCCCTTTGACCCCAAGCCAGGACGGACTGTCGTACGTGCCCGTGGCTAGGACCACATTTTCCGCATACAGAGAAAAGGATTCTGTGCCGTCGGGCGTCGTGACAAACCCGTCCACCTGGAAGAGACTTCCACTGTCGGGGTCATCGGTTGGCGGATCCTCACAAGAATTCCACCCAGAGACTTCCCGTGAATCTTGATCTATGTAGCCGGAGTTGGAATCCACCCCTAGTTTCTTCACAGAGGTCACAGCAGTCCCACAGAGAAAGTTCTTTTTCAGTCCTTTTCTTGCCACGTAATACTGATAATATTGAACAATGTCTCCAGCAGTTGCTCTGTTGCTCCGAAAGCCCCTGTGGCAAAAACACGAGGATCAGTACAGATTGAGAAAGAGCGGTAACAGCTATGGTAGCTCATTCAATCCCCAGCACAGCCCAGCCTGTTTCTGGATGGTCTTTTCAGCCTTAAAACCCACAGGGCTGACGTTCTGCTTAAAAGGTCCATTTCAGTTCCACAGACATCAAGAGGATGCCATTCACAATTGTGGTGCAAAAAAAAAAATGAGAGATTACACAGGTTGTCACATGGGTAGGGTGTCATTGAGAGGGTGCAGCATTTGGGGAAAAAGATAAAAGCTCCATTCCTGCTATAAGATTTACATGTTTTGTTATTATTAATTTGTTTTATTTATAGGCTGCCTTTCTGCTGGTAAGGAGACCAAAGGCAGATCACAATATTAAAAAGATCAGAATTAAAAGCATAAGTTAAAAATTAAAAAAACACTAACTATACACTAACCGAAATATAATTTACCAATTAAAAGCAACAGCATCCCATAACCTGGGAGCTGCCGGAGAGAAGGCCCTCTCTCGTGTCACCATCATCCGTAGCTGTGCCAGCCATGAGACCAAGAGGATGGCCTCCTCCACTGATCTCAATCGCCAAGAAGGGTCGTGTTTTGAGAACTCCGTGCCACAGCAACACTCGGGACCCCTCAAACGACAAGAATCGCCTCCTCCCAGGCCACACAATGTGCCTTTCTAGCTTGGGGTGGGGAACTTGTGACACGCTGACTTCTGTTTCATGCCGTGGCTTCGGATCCCCTCAGTGGAAGCAAAGCGGCTTCTAAATCCAACAAGGAAAATGTGGACCTACACTCTCTTTATGGGTGCAGCTGATGGCTGCCTTTTGGTTCTGTCCATTACTGGAACAGAGGACTAACACATTTTTTTTCCTCTGATGGAGAGCTTGCAAGAAAAAAAGTGGTTATAACTGGCCTCCAGTGACAGATAACAGCTCTCTAGGATTTAAAAAAAGGGTGTTTCCTATCAGAAGACATCTAGAATTCAACAAGCAGCCAGCCTTCTTTGAGCAATAAACAGGGACTGGAAAAATTACTTTTTTTTGTACCATGAGTAATTTTTCATGTCTCAGGTAAAGCTCTATAGGATTTAAAAAAAGGGTGTTTCCTATCAGAAGACATCTAGAATTCAACAAGCAGCCAGCCTTCTTTGAGCAATAAACAGGGACTGGAAAAATTACTTTTTTTTGTACCATGAGTAATTTTTCATGTCTCAGGTAAGATTGCAACCATTCCTTCTACGTACAGTATGTCTTTGCTTGATGTCTTTAGGCTTCGACATTCAACCGTTTGCTCAATCTGCACCTACAATCTAGGTAGGACGTCCTATTATTACCGTTAATCTGCTCTACCCCAGAGGGCTTTGGGTGGGTGGCAAACCAAATATTCTTCGCAAGCCAAAACCACCTATGACTCAACCATTCCTTTTCAGAGCTGCCTTGTACTAAAGGGAATTGAGGCTCTCAAAGATTCTCCCACACTTGACAAACGTTCAAGGAAACGAGCATGCAATGCTCAAGACGTTTCTACATGCCTTCCTTTTTCTGTGCAGGCTTTGGGTGTTTTTTATTATTATTATTACAGACCAATCGGTGCCAGCCCAAAAATGTTCTGTTGCCTCAGGCAAAGCAGGAAATGAAAACTCCTATCCCATGATGTGTGCGGTACCTAGAGCCAAACCATGTTATTTTGACACAGGGAGGCGGAAAAACTCACCGGTGCCTCCCATTGCCATTAAGAAAAATACTGTAATAATACATTATGCTGTGCTGGCATGACACTCAACGTTGGCTACCTGACGTTGGCCAACACAGAATGGGTTGGATGAGCATGGTGGGACTGTGGGGTGGGGGAGAAATTCCTTGGATATGCTGGGCATATTAAACTTGCTGTGACGAGTTATTCTGCAATATACAGTCTATTCAAACATTATTATGTTCTAACAGGGACCAACCAAATACTTTTGAAAAGTCCTCCAAGAGGACACGGGTTGGAAAAGGTCCTTCTTAGACCTCAACTTCCAGAAGATCCTAACCAGCATGAGTGTAGTCGTCGGTCAAAAAAAGTAACTTTTCCAGGCACTAGATCCTGCTCAGTGTTCATCTAATGAGAGTTCCTCATTTGATTATCTCCTAAGAAATGGGACCGTTTTCCTGTGGGAGGATTTGTACCTTTTCTTCTTGCTCAACCAGTCTTTGAACTGCAGGTCAGGAAGCGCCATCCAGTCTCCCCGGCTCAGCGTGAACATGGACCCCTCAATCGACTAAAGAGAAAAAGGGGGATAAAACAGAGATAGCACATCGTAACAAGCACTTACAAATATGTAGGTTGAAAAAGTGACAGGGCATTTCCCGTGCTTTCAGTCTGTCTGTTCTGAAGTAAATTTGAAGGTAATGAGAAGCCACCGGACAGTGCAATGTCTTCTGGCTCACCGTACATACTAAAGGGTATAGAAACTGGATTTGTATCTACTCACAAACTTAGTAAGTCTGTTCTACGAAAGCTAAACACTCTTTCCTCACACACACACACAATTTCTCACCAAGGTTAACGTAAAGCAGGAATGCATGGAAAAGCTCAGGATACGTTCAAATGAACTGCAGTTCAGACACATGAATGCTTCCATTAGGGATTGGATTTTTTGTTTTCTTGGACTACAAGTCCCATTATTCTCCATTCTGGGAGTTCTACCCGACAGACAGGCACTTTAGAGGCAAATGGGGCTCACCTGGAAGAAAGGCCTTAACTGGAAGGATTTGGGGCTTAGCTCGGCCTAGCTTTCTATTCAGAAAGGTGACCAGAAGACTTTTGACTCCAAATTCTTTCACAGTCATACCAATGAAATAACTCCCTCTTGCCCTATACTACTGGAACAACAAAAGCTTCATGCAACAAGAAGACCATTTCTTTTGGTGAACATTCTGCCGAATTCTGAAATCTAGACCAAATTTCAGGTTTCTGAAAGCTTTTGCGACATTCTTTTGCACGAGTCTCCAGCCGGTGCTTATTGGGTTTCTAGGAACAAACCAAGCACACCTTTTACAAGCCCGTAGTTTGCTCATCCCTGTTGTCTAAGCATTCGTTCCTTGACCTGTACTTACATGCCAGGCTCCTCCGGGAAAGTTTTTGCCGAGAACCAGGTGGGGAACGGCTCTCTCAGGCTGATGGCACCAAGAGAGGAGAGGCTCTGCGTTTCCCCCAAAGTCCGTATCCGGACGCAACAGAGCATCGAAGAGGAGAGCGACTGGACTGGAGGATCGACCTTCCAAACCTTCAGATAGGTACTCAAGGTCCTAGAGAGAAAAGGAGCAGTCTTCATAAGCCCCTCCTCATCACAAACTTGGGGTACCCTGCAGAGGCATTTATGCAGACCATACTCAATCCCTACGCGATCTGTGTCCTGTTCAAGGCAATCCGTTCTCCCCTAGATGCACTACAACACCGACAGCCCTTGGAGGCCTTACTTCAAGAACAGATAAAAATATTGCATATCCCTAAGAAATATTTTTAGTATTTTGCAATATCCTTCTTGTCTACAGGAGAACGGTTCTCAAAGGAAAACCCATGGACTTCTGGGCAGCACAACCACGCACTGTTTGATTTCTAGAGAAAAGATTTCAGGGAGTTGAATCATTTCTTTACACTCAGAGTACTTCCTCATTTAAAAAAGCAATAAATGAAGGATGCCAAATTATTTTCATCAGCCCATGGACATAGGCGTAAAGAATGGCATCGCGGCCAGAAGGCTGGAGAGAATCGAACTGTGAGGTGAAGCCATGTAATGACCTCCTGAATCCGAGAAGCCCTCTAAGCCCAGGAAATCTAAAACTGGTCTACAATTGGCTCACTGCCACTAACCTGGTCTAAGATGGAAACATGAGGTGCTTCTTCCAGTTTCCTTTGCAAAATGGGATTCGGGTGAACCACGTGTCTTCTGATGTAGGGGATGTTGCCAGACAGTAGGTAGGATAAGCAGATTCCTGAGGGACCATTTCCTAAGAGAAAGAAATCAGGCAGATGTAAGAGATTTAGAAGTCTACTGTCTAGAACCTTTGTCTGAAATTAATGGGAGATGTGCACAAGCCCTCCCATGGAATTCAATGGAGCATGGGCAAGAGAATTTCCAGAGAAATTCACACTGCTATTACCTCTTTATTTTTTTGGGAGTCAGTGGGACTTACTTCTAAGTAGGTACGGGGGGGGAGAAACACCCTTGTACAACTCAGAACTGCCTGGATAGCAGTGGAGGAAGAGGTTGGGAGTTCAGTTCCCTTCATGGCCTTGGGCAAATGGCATAGTCCTCAAGATGCCCTCAGAAGAAGGCAATGGTCAATCACGTACTAGAAACCTTGAAAACGGTCATCACAGATCAGAATTAATTTGTTGGCACACAGTTATTATGTGTTCTGGTGGTTGTGAGTTTTTCGGGCTCTTTGGCCGTGTTCTGAAGGTTGTTCTTCCAGACGTTTCGCCAGTCTCTGTGGCCGGCATCTTCAGAGGACAGCAACCTGTGCTCTGGTCCCAATCCATCCTTTGTAGGGTCTTGGGGGACTCCCTCCTCTCCCAAAGCAACGTCAGGAAGAACAATCTTCAGAACATGGCCAAAGAACCCCCCAAACCCACAACAACCATCAGATCCCGGCCGTGAAAGCCTTCGAGAATACAATTATTATGTATCTTAAACTTCTCCTTTGGGATTGTCTGCCCTGGATGGCAAAATGTCTTAAGCCAACTTGAGAAATTCCTCTTTTTTTCAAGGAAGGAGGGAAGGGAGGGGAGAGGAGAGGAGAGGAGAGGAGAGGGAAAGAAAGAAAGAAAGAAAGAAAGAAAGAAAGAAAGAAAGAAAGAAAGAAAGAAAGAAAGAAAGAAAGAAAGAAAGAAAGAAAGAAATTACTGGCCAGCTTTGCAAACCAACAACCATTTCAGGCAGAACGTTTGTAAGACGCTCACCCACATAGCTTTCTTTGGGTTAGATGAATGACCATAACCCTGGATCACCATCTGTATCTCAGTTCCCCTATGCTCACTGGCATGTGTCAAAATCAACAGTACAGTACATAGAATGTCCCAAGGAAGCTGATCAGGGTGACACAGCAAACCGGCTAGAAGGTCTAAGTGTCCTCGGACCATTTGGCACGGCCGGCGTGTTTGTATAAGCCAGGTGTGTGAGCAAAGATTCCTTCTTAGAAGACTCTGCTCTTTTCTACCCAGGCCCTGATCCAGGAAGAGCACAGCATCTCTCCACCAATGCTATTCAAAACCTGCAGAGCCTCCAGTTACTGGCTGGGGATTCTGAGCCCCCAGTGGTACTTATTTGGGAGGAAAGGCCATTCTCCAAAAATAAATGTGCAGAGGATTTATGTACTGATGACAACTGGGAGGCTATTGCCAGAACACAGCAGGCGGGTGGCCCATCGCAACATCTGGTTTCCCCCGCCCCAGGGCAAAGTGGCAGCCAAAACTGGAAATCCGAACCTATCCGGAGTGAACAATCCTTTTGTAGACTGACCAGTGCACAGAGTGGGCAACTGGTCATCTCACACATAACCAACAGAAGGGGAAAAAAAATAAAGCCCACTCTCATGAAGCACAGCAGGGAATCAAACTCCCAACTTCTGGCTCTGCAACCAGATCCCTAAACCATCGAGCTATCCAGCAACAGTCTGCACAGCTTTTAGAGAGGTCTTCTCAAGAAGCAAATTTTAATAGCCAAAGGCTATGTGACTTACAGCCTGTATGTGTGCAAAGATTAAGTAACGGTTCACACTTATGGATAGCCGGACAGATACTCTAGTCAGCTCTGTAATTTGAGAGACTGCCCTGTAAAGTTGCAGTTAAGTGCCCATGTGTCATGAGAAGATAAGCTTGCAAAGCACAGGTTATGTAAGAATTCTCTTTGGAACAAGCCATCTCTGGACAGCCTGGGGCTAGATGTTCACAGATAACTGTGAACGAGGTTAATGAACTGCCAGAAGAGAAGGAAGAGGAGAGGCAGCCGGCAGTTGCACTTCAGACAAACAACAATAAGCAGGTCTACCTGGCTTAAAGTCACATCCCTACCCTCCTCAGGGTGGATTGCAAATGGCATCTGCTATAGGTTGTAATTCAACAGGTGTGCTGCAGTTCCAAGGGTTAGAAGCATGATGAAAAAGACCATTAACAACTCAAGAAAAAGAAGTGGGATATACCAAGCTGCAATGTAGCCGGCTGGACCAGTGGCATGACTAGCTCACAGTTGTCTACATCAGTGGTTCCCAACCTTGGGCCTTCAGATGTTCTTGAACTGCAACTCCCAGAAATCCTGGCCAGCACAGCAAGGGGTGAAGGCTTCTGGAAACTGCAGTCTGAGAACATCTGGGGACCCCTGTTTGAGAACCATTGGTCTACAACAGCCTTCCCCAAGGCTGGGGATAATGAGATTTGTGGCCCAACATACTTGGAGGACACCAGATTGGTGAGGGCAATGGCTTTCTATAGTTTCTGGGGGGAAAAATTCTCCAATCTTCTCTGAAGGTGGGTAGAAAGCCAATGCTGTAGCTAATGATCTGGGGGCAATGGTGGCTTCACCATTGAGGGAAGTTACCAACCACCTCCAGATTGGTGGCCATGGATTGAACTAATCAGACACTGGTGAAGAAGCCTCTCCAGTTAGGGCAGTGATTCCCACTGAAAATCCCAGAAATCCTGGCCAGCATAGTTCATGGTGAAGGCTAATGGGAGTTGTGGTCCAAGAATGTCTGGGGACCCAAGGCTGGGAACCAATGAGTTATGGCAATATATTTTAAATCAAAATGGAAGGTTTTGAACACTGGATGCCGGGAGCCTCAACAAGAGGGTGGACAAGGAATATGGTGGGCACCACTGGTTGATGTACCCGTACCTTTAAAAAAAGCATGGTAGTAGCAGGACGTTGAAGAGCATCCAGATAATGATGGAGGAGAGAGACGGGATATTTTCCCGCCAGGGGACATTAATGATGGGTTGATGCAAGACATCCCTTCACGTCTTCTCCCTAACACATCTGATGGGAAAGGATCTCTTTATACCTCTAGTAGGTAGATAACTAGGCAATTTGCCAAAGGAAAACCATCCGCACGTTGTTAGCAACGCAAGGGGGAAGGCAAAAGAGTTCAAGTCCAAAGCGATTTTTTTAAAAGAAAAAAAATATCACAGAACGTTTAAGCCAGTGGCTGTGACTCATCGTTCTGCGCATGCTTGTTTTTCCTATATAACTTCCGGCAATGTATACAAGCCAATTTCCACTACATTTGAGAGCTGTTGTGCCAGTTGTTTCTAACAAGCAAAATTCCGTTCACACTGAAGCAGAAAGGCATGGAAGGGAAAAGGGGAATTTCCAGGGCACTTTTATTCATTATATAATAATTGCATGCCATCAAATCAATTCTGAGTTATGGCGACTCTTTTCAAGGTTTCGCAGTCAGAAAGGACTCAGAAGGGTCCTTTCAACAAGCCACATCAGGATATCAGCAAAATTAACATGTCCCCTATCCCTATGTGATGCGGCAGGGGGAGTGGTTTTGTTTTGTTTTGCCTCTGTGAGATCATTGCCAATGTGCTGAATCATTGAGATTAATTTTTTATTTGCATTTGTATGAAATGTCAGTCAAAACCACACCTACAGGCCATTCCTCAACTGGCACTATGCACAAAACATTTTTTAAAAATCTAAGTGATTTAGTACATCAGCAATCATATAGCAGAGGCCAAAAAAAGGCTTCCTTTTGCCTTCTTCAGAGTGTTCAATTTGCCAATATCCTGAAGTGGCTTGCTTATAAAGCTGCATCAGGATAGTGGAAATAGGGTCGTTTTTGAGGTCCGTATGCCATTTGGATGCGAGGATGGCACCAAGTAGCACATCACTTCTCCGCCTGACCTCAACCTACCCTATTTGGATCTCATGCGCCTGAACCAAAAAGGGCCAGTTCGGTCACACCTACAGAACCACCATATGAGGCTGCTGCGTACAAAGTGGTTTGGTTAGACAGCTACCCCCGTTAAGTGTAGATTATTCCTCAGAGGTTCTTACCTATGATCACCACAGGAAGAGGCTTTTTGCTGGTCTGTTCCAGATGTTCTTGTAACATGGTCTCTCCGAAGCAGGAGAACTCTAAGTCAGCCTGAAATGAGAAGGTCAAGCAAATACTTGTTATCTTAAGAATGTCATCCCCTATCTGGGTATTGCTTCTCCCACTGCAAGCGAAGGGCACAGCATGATCCAAATGCTGGATCCCTCCCCCCCGGCAGAAACACTAGAAAAGCTTTTTGTTGGTTTGTCTTATAATTTGTCAAATAATGATGTGTGTCAGACTGTTGTTAAAAACTGGATCAGAATACACAACATCATATACAAGGGGAGGCGGTATCATTTGCAGAAGCCTCAAAAGATGAATGGGTAGATAGATGCTCAGCGCTATAACCCTTTTTAAAAATCAATAAGCAGCATAAGACATTCAGAAACAAATAGGAAGAAGCACAGTGGCTGTTTGTTGCCTCTCTGGGAGTATCATGTCTTGGAGGTTACCAAATCCTTAAGAGCAAAGACAGTTCCTACACAACCTTCTCCCTTTACCAACAAGGGCAATCTTTATTCCACAGACAATGAGGCATTGTTAATTACAGTCGGGGTGCAAAGTTTCTCCAAACCATGGATGCTGGAGCAAATGCATGCTCTGTTATAAGCTGAGCAGATCTCTGCCTCTGGGGCTACAGCATCATCAGAGCAGACAAAGGGTAGAAAAACCATCCCAGATTTCAGCCAGGTCCTATTGGCCAACTGTTGTGTCCTCACGGCCACAACCAGCTAGCTCAAAGGTGCTCAAGTTTTTCAAGTTGATTCAGAGGCATAACAACTCATGATGTTGGAGTAACCAGAAGCAGAAAAGTTACTGTGTTAGGCTCCAGCTGTCAGAGTTTCTCATGCTGGTTGGGGGATTGAGAGAGCTGGATCCCCCAGACACGAATGTTTTCATCACACTTAGTAACCAGAGACATGGCTTGGAAATAATGGAAAAACGCAGTGGCAACATCCATCAGATCTGGGTTTGAGTCTTGCTTTTGCCCTTAATTTAGCAGGGAGCCCTAAGCATGACCCTATTCATGCAGGATGGGTCTCCCACTCCCGCCAGCTTTGCAAATGCAAAGCAGAGGTATTATTATGAGGAATACAACCTAGCCTGAATTGTCTCCTTGCTAAAATTTGCCCGCAAGGCAAGGTTTCATTGCCAAAACATTTGCATGCTTCCCGATATTTGATGCACAAGGAGAGTCCGATTTACATGTGGATGGTCCAGGCAGGCTCAGAAGATTCGCCTGCATGTGTGAAATCCACCCCACCCACCCCTGCTGCATGTGTAGGAATGGGCAAGCTCATCACAGATGGGTCCCTGATCATCCTCCCCTTGCGGCAAAGCAGCTCATTAAAACATGCCCGGCTCCTGTCCTATAAGAAGCAGGCAAGCCCAGTCCAAAAAAAAAATAAATAAATCCATGGGATCATCTTGTGCAGATAAAAGTCCTCGGTGCTAAAACTCCATAGAAAGTCTACTTAACCAAAGCCTCCCACTGCCGTTTGGAAGCAACGCCGGGTGAGCATTCATACAGACTTGTTGGGTTTCTGTTTGTGTCTTAATCGCGAAGGCAGCCTTTGGTTCTTTGGAGACCTTCCCCGGTATTTTTCCACTCCTCTGTCACTGATCTGCCTTCCTCGGCTCCTGGAGGGTGGCGATAACATTACATAACACTTCCCAGCTGAAACTGGGGGACCGCTCTTTGCTCAAGCTCTCCTTGGCTCCTGCTCAGGGGGTGCCCATAAAAAAAAAACCCAAGAATCTTCCAAGGCCAAGAAATCCTATCTGCCTGCCATCCAGGAGATCGGCTAACATTTCCCTTAGGGGCTCTCTCTCTCTCTCTCTCTAAGTTTCTCAGACAGCCTCTGAGAAAAAAAAAAAGAACCAAAAGGGTTAATAAAACAAAGATAGCTTGAGCTTCATGCCAACCGCAGTTTTTAAAAAAATGCACAGGGTCCGGCGACCCCTTTGATTCGTGCATCGCTTTCTGCCTCCTGGTAACTTCTAAAAAGAAGGCACTTTTTTCTCTTTCTTTTTAAAAACTTCCATTCAACTTTTTTTTTTTTTTTTGAACCTCCCCTTCTGGTCATCAGCCCCGTTTTCCTGAATCCCCAGCCAAAAAAAGAGAGATCCCACCAGCCTGAATTACAGAGCATGCGATCCGAAGAGAAACCCGAGTATTCTGAATTACAGAGGGGGAAAAAAACTCATCACCAAGGTCACGCAAAGCCCTTTTTTAAAAAATGAAACTTAAAGCTCTTTTAGGAGCGAGGGCTAAGCGCCGAGTCAAGCCTCCAGCTGTTCACAAGCATTGCCTTACCTTCGAGAAAGCCAGCCGGAATCCCAGGAAGAAAAACTACTTTCTTCTATTGCAAGGTGCCTCTGCCGCTGGAAGAAAAAAAATGAAATCAGAAAGCGGTTTCTAGAAGCCTTCCTTCCTCTCTTAAATAGATGACAGCCAGCCGTCCCTCGTGAGGAGGCGGGGCTTAGCTCCCAGGGGCGGAGCTAGAAAACCCACTCGCAAGCATGAGTCAGCAGCCTGGGCATTTATGAATGGGACGGATCGCAGCCTTTTTTCCTAACCGCTCCGCTTCTCTCCTCCATCATTCCTGTTGCATCTCCTTATGTGTTTGCATGCCACAGTGAAAGAGAATCCAGATGTGTTTTCCTTTAAATAACTTTTAAAGGATGAATTAGATATATAGTCTCTGGACCTGTCTTAAAAGGATGAATGAACTGCCTTTATTAACTTCCGTCTTTCCTTACCCTGGGATCAATCATTGTTGGCAAGCCTATGAATGTTTTGCCGCATGAATGTTTTGCACGGTTAATCCCTGCTTTCCGCTTCATATGTCTGTCAAAGGGAGCTAAGCAGACCCACAAAAACTTATATTAAAATATAGTAAGTTCAATGCTTTGTCTTCTTCTTTTTAATTGTTTGTCTTTGCTGGATATGTTTGCATGGACAAGCATGGCTACGTCTTCTAAAGCCTATGTATACTATGACGTGAATCTTAAGAAGAGGATCAAGTTAGTTAAATTGCTGGAGAAATTTCGAGGGGTGTTTCGGCCGTAAATAAAAATTGTTTTTGGGACCTGAAAGGCAAGCGAGCTTGATACGGTTTTCAGAAAGATGGCTCGCAAGCTTTGTTTCATCAAAGGAAACAAAAGTTTTGAGACTCAACAATTTATTTTCAGTGTGAGCTTTCGTGGATTAGAAGTCTGTATCCTGACCAAGCTTTGTTTGAGGACAACTCTTATAGAATGTAGCCCATAAAACCTGGTGATTGTGGGTTGCAAGCTAGGAAAGGCTTGTGGTAAATAAAACTTATTAATCTTCAGGAAACTCAGTGGAGAACTGCTGGATAGTTCAGTGGTCTGTCTGTCTGCTTGCCTGCCTGCCTTCCTTCCTTCCTGCCTTCCTTTTCATACAAGCCACCTAGCAAAAATTTCTACTCAGGGCGTTATACAACAAAATGAAAAAAAAAAGATATTATAGAATCAGCTATGGAACACTAAAAATAAAAAGCTATAACAGTTTTAGATGAGCTTTAGAAAAATTACATATTTGTTCATATAAAGCGTGGCAAGAAGTAGGAAGAAGCAAAATGTGGGGAAAGATTCTACTACCTGGAATTGGATCCTTGAGCCTCAAAAGTTTGGCTTGGAATGTTGGAGCATCCAGCTAGTATTCTGATGTTTGGGTCTCCATTTTTTCCCCAGACAGGCTCATCTTTAACAGCTGCATTGAAAGCATGCACTTCCTGCTTCTCTTCATGCTGAACTACTGCATTTGGCCCTTGCAAATAAGTGAGATATTCCCTCGGTTTTTTTTTCTTTAGAAATAAATTTGTAAATGGAGGAAACTTGAAATTTCGTAAGTCCAAATGTGGGGGAAAGGAAAACGGGCAGATCTTTGCCTTCAGAAACAATCATCCACCCAGGAACAATACATGCCACAGGATTCTGGGAGTTGTAGTCCTATTCCAGTAATTGAGGTGATGTGTGTGGCAGGGACAAAAGCCATGTTATTCTGTTGTGGTGTGGTTTTCAATATATGTTTTTTTTTCCAAAGTGGAATAGCGCTAGATCAGTATTACAGATTGAAAATATAGACATAACATACATATATGATATAGATAACAGATCAGACTGCAAGGTTGCCCTGGCATCCAATCCAATACTTGACAAATCTGACAGACATCATTTACTCTGACACAGGCAAGCACACATGGAAAAATGATTCAAAATAAGTCACATTCATAATCGGGTTGAAATAAAAAAGCCTGCTCCCTCAAAAAAAAGTGTGCTCAGCTGTATGTCAAGTAAATGGGTTTTAAAAGTCAATTTCAAGCATGCTAAACCCAAAGCAAACCCAGAAGTATTTCATCGTGCAACCGCGCCCTAATTCAGATGTGGGCAACTTCTGGCAGAAGAGAGGGTGGAGGTATTCATGATGTGTTAAAAGATTGTTAAACCTTTGAAAATAAACTTTTCACTATTTATAGATGACAAAGCTCTTCAGAAACATAATCAGTGGCTCTTTCTCAGAGAACCAATGCAGAACCTAGGGAAGGCTGGGTCTCATGTCGGAATCTGCTCTGTTGAAAGAGTTGCAACACTATATGAAAATAGCTGTGTTTTCTTTGTCCCTGCAGCAATTCCTCTGGCAGATGATATCATCACTCCAATTCTGGAAAAAAAAAGCCTCAGAATCTCACTCTTCCTGTCTTTGTGCTCGGGTACCACCGTGCCGACAAGGGTCAGAAAGTACACCCGGTCTTTCAGTACAGGCTTGTCTCATTGCAGAAGGAAATACAGTAAATTTCTTTTTAAGGGTTGTGAAAAAAAAAAGCAACATCCTGCCATCCATGTGTGTTGCAATGGTCTCTCAGCGTGCACTGAAATGTACCGGTGTACAGATAGCCATGCAAAGCCTTAGTCATGAACAGATTCCTAGCTGCTGATCTCATCGTTCGCCACCACTCCGCAGAGCACGAGGAATGGCTTGGAGAAGGTCCAGAATAGAGGCAGGTTCTCAGGCTGTTTCAAAGGGCCTAAACCATTCAAGATTTAAGCAGGTTTCATTGCATCTGCCCTCTACTTTTAGAAGCAGAAGTAAGGCGAATGAGGCTGCTAAGCTTTTATTAAGGTATAGACCACTGGTTCTTAACCTTGGGTTACTCAGGAGTTTTGGACTGCAACTCCCAGAAGCCTTCACCACCAGCTGTGCTGGCTGGGGTTTCTGGGAGTTGCAGTTCAAAAACATCTGAGTAACAAAGGTTAAGAACCACTGGTATAGACCATGTATCTCCTAGTGACAAATGACTACTGTTCCTCTTATATTTTGCCTTGCATTGCTGGGGCCCGAAGTAGTTTGCAACCTTTAAAAAAGAGATAAGAAATGTATTCGCAAAGGCTTTCATGGCCGGGATCTAATGGTTGTTGTGGGTTTTTCTGGCTCTTTGGCCGTGTTCTGAAGGTTGTTCTTCCTGATGTTTCGCCAGTCTCTGTGGCCGGCATCTTCAGAGGAGAGGAGTAAGAACTCTGGAACTCTGTCTGTGCTCTGGTGCAGTTTGTCTGGGAGTTGAGTATTTATAGCTGTGGGATCAGCTTCTGTCCTTTTCAGGAGATTGGGTGCTTATGGTGATTGGGGTGTTTTTTTGTTATGGGTGCATTGTTGTGATAAGGGCGGAGATTATCTGTCACTGTGATTGATGGGTGTTATTAGCTGGTCTTTTGTGTGAAGTGATCACCGGCCCTTAGAAGCAGGTACTGGTAAAATCAGACTGAAACTGATGTTGACAAACAAACAAGCACACAGCAAGTCCTGTTATAGCACTAACACACCTTTGAGTTTTAAAAGAAATGTAAAAGACATCGCCATAGGCAGTCAAGTGCAACATAATCCACTAAAAATCAGGACAAGGTTGCATTGTCCTCAAAACGATCGATGTGCAGGAATAGGTGATACCTTTATTAGACCATGAAGAATTTTTTTTAACAAATAAACTAAAGCAAGCTTTCAGTGATTCTTCATCTTGGACCATGAAGAAAATTTAAAAAAAAAACAACACTAAAGCAAGCTTTCAGTGATTCTTCATCTCCCTCAGGCTGTGCACCAAATTCTTGTGGGGAGCTCAAACATTAGTATTAATTTCTTAATTATCCCATAAATGTATCACCTATTCCTGCATTTGTATAATCCTCTGACATCTCCTTTCTTAGCAGCCAGTTAATTGACAAAAGAGAAGAAAATTTAAAAAAAAAACAACACTAAAGCAAGCTTTCAGTGATTCTTCATCTCCCTCAGGCTGTGCACCAAATTCTTGTGGGGAGCTCAAACATTAGTATTAATTTCTTAATTATCCCATAAATGTATCACCTATTCCTGCATTTGTATAATCCTCTGACATCTCCTTTCTTAGCAGCCAGTTAATTGACAAAAGACTGTTTGAATTAAAAGGCCTTTGCATGTGAGCGGAAGGAGAGTAAGGAGGGGCCTTCAGTTTCTATTGGCAGGGAGTTCCACCGTCCCAGGAGAAGCCTTTCTTCGGACAGATGCCCCAGAACAAAAAGCTGTTCGTATTTAAACTGCCTTCCAGCCTGCGCCTGCTGAAACAGCAGCTAAGAACTCATCATGCCACCTGTAGAAGCACAAACCAATTCAAGTCTTGAGCGCAAAAAAACCAGAAGTTGCCACATTGAAGCTACGAAGAGCGATGTCATCACCTTGTGTTTCCCAAGACGTTTAAAGGAAAGATTTTACACTTTCATTTTGGGCAGGCACTCTGAATCAATAGGTTTGGCAGAAATGCCTCATCACTGGTGGTTGGGGATGCCTTAAGCAAATGGTCCCCAACCTTGGGCCTCCAGATGTTCTTGGACTTCAACTCCCAGAAATCCTGGGCAGCAGAGGTGGTGGTGAAGGCTTCTGGGAATTGTAGTCCAAGAACATCTGGAAGCCCAAGGTTGGGGACCACTGCCTTAAGCCATACACCAGCAGAAGATCCAGAGGCGTTGCTGCCATCTAAACATACACAGTGGTTTCAATGAAAATGTAAGGGCTTTAGCCAGACGGAAGGCTGAACTTAATGACAGAACGGTGCTGGACACCCATTCCAGGATTTATAGGTTTCAATGTAAGGACATGGGTGGGTGGCTCCCTAAATTAGGTTAGCAAATGTTGCTGGAATCCCTGAGCATTTGCAGTGCCAGGAGAGAGTGCTTCCAAGAGGTCAAAGCCTCCAGCAACTGGGGATCCAAATTTGGAAATTGCTGGGAAAAGGGTCTCCCTGGCTACCCGCCATTTGCGTCATCACTGAAGGCCGGACGCCCCGCGCTGCAAAT